TTCATTATTTTTAATATAACATAATATAAATTATATATTATCGATATAAACATATTATTTAGACACTAATAAATAAATTATATATTAACTTTTATGATAATTTTATATATGAGTAATTTAGTGCTCTACCAATAAATAAATAATAATAATTTATATATAAATTATAATTAATTTATATATAAAATATAATTAATTTATTTATTTATTTAATAATAATAATAATTAATTAAATTATAACTATAATTTTATATGAGTAATATGTTATATCCAAAATAATTTAATATTTTTTAAAAAACTTTAAATTTTAAATATAATTATATAATGAAATTCATTATTTTTAATAAAATTATATATTATTAATTTATTAATATATTATTTTACTAACTATTATGATAATTTTAAAATCGTATACTGCTAATGCTTTGCCAATCACTCTATTAAAAACTTTAATGAAAGCATACAGCTTCTATAGCATACTGCTTCTGCAGCATACTGCTTCTGCAGCATACTGCTACTGCTTTATCATCTGCTGTACTAATAAAGTAAGTTTTTTTTTTCTCTTTAGGAAAAAAATGGTATGTGTTATATGTCTTTTATTGTTATCGAATTGAATTTTATTTTCTAAACTGTTAACTGTATTTTTAAAAGACATATGTCTTCCCTAAAAATTCTGTTGAGATTTTACGCCTACAAAGGCTATCCTTTGACAAAGAGGATGTGTTAGTTCACTTTCCAATTTTTTTTCATCCATGAAACACTCGCCTTCCTGCTTCCCCTTCCAACCTAAAAGACGATAGCAGAACGTCCGCGGTTATGGCATTGACTTTTCTAAACCACTACTTGATCTTCATTGCTTCTTAACTTTTTTCTTCAGTGCCGAACTTGAAATATATCTATATAAACGGCAAGAGAGTCTACATGCATTCATTTGCTCCTTCATCATTCATAGAACACTCAATCTCTTTCAGCCATCTCCGACTATGAAAAATCACCAGCTCCATTTCGCTGAGCTTAAGGCTGGCCGCTGGATGAATGTTGTTAAAATTTTGGCGAACGGAAAATCACTTATTTCACTGAAAGTTAATTTTTGGAATAATGATTAAAAAATTCTCTTGGGACTGATTTTTGGTGATGTTTCTATGATGAACAGGAGAAAGAGATAAGTGACATCATCAAATGGCTGCCTGATTTAGCTACAGTTGATCCAAATGTAAAATATGGTTTAAGGTGGCCGTTTGGTAAATCGTCATATGATGATGGATACAGTCTTTGAATCTTGTCATGTTAAAGCTACAGTCTATAGGAACCAAACTCTAAGGCTTAGGGTGAGAGAGACTGATAGATTCAGTGAAAGGATTGGAACAGGGGAAGTCAAGAGGGAGGTGATTCTGATGCTCAAAGACATGAACTCTAAGTTACAGTACATTATTGTCTTTTTTGTATCTTTGAAACTTTACTAGAAGTGAAGCTTATACTGTTTCTTACTTTTTGGTCTGCATGAGCAGAACATTGACAGATGTTCTGTTTTGGAAATGCTCAGAGATGTTCTTAGAACCATGTGGAATTTCTTGCATTGTGAAGCCTTTCTTACATGATAAAGAACGATATGATGTTGATGGTGCTGTTGAATTTCTCACTCCCTTTTAGATTTTGTTGACCTTTTGGTATAATATTTTTTTTTTTAAAAGTTTATGTGTGGGTAGGCTGTGAAAGATTAGAACTTTGCGTGTTGTCAAAAACCAAATAGAATTTGTGCTATTGCGTTTCTCTTTTTCAATCTTTTGCTTTTCTGGTGCAGTAATGTTTGTGTCTTGAAGTTATCTTTTTTTTTTTTCTAACGTATAAACACACAAAAACCAGACGGCAAGTTTGGTCCTCTGGTTGAACTTTCGCAACAATAATGTAGAAGTTGTTCTCTACAAATTTCTAATGTATAAACACACAAAAACAAGGCGGAAAATTTGGTCCTCTGGTTGAACTTTCGCAACAATATTGTAGAAGATGTTCTCTACAAATGTCCCAACTTCAAACTTGCAAGTTGCAACATATAATGACTAAGGTTGTACCAAGGCATATATTCTCTGTTGACTTTGACTTGGGAAAAGAGACACACTATTGCAACTGAGGAGGTTCAAATATTTTCATTCTCTTCTTTTGTGAACATTAATCTTGTCTGGTAAATGCAGTGAAGTTCAGTGACTTATCAGCTGGCCTGGATCATTCGTAACGTGTATGGGAATGCAGGTCCCATTGTTTTGAGCCGGTTCAGGTTTTTCTTCCTTTCTTTCCAAATCTATTACTTTGTAACTAAATCTTAACCAACCTTGTTTTATTCATGTGCGTGTGTTTTCTCTTTCAGATTACTAATACATTTTTGGATAGAGTCATGTATGTTGTTTAGCATGAATTCAACTGGTAAAAGGCAACATGATACTTTTGTTGTTGGCTCAATCTTTGGTCTTCCTTTGATTTTAGTGGTTCTTTGTTCTTGACAAACTTTAGGTTGTGAATTGGTTTATAAATGTGAGAGTTTGGCTACGGAACCAATGATCATACAGCTGTATATAGAAGATTTTGGTGATGCATCAGAGCTTACACAAATACCTGCATATCTTCAACGCTTAAGAACTGCTCCCAAACATATTGATAGCCCAAACAATCCATCCGTCGGATAGCAACGAATTAAGGTGAGTTGGTCGCGATTCAAGTGTCGTGTCGTAGGAATAAAGTTCGGGTAGTTCCATGCAAGTCTGGAACAAAGTTCTTTTGGCGGAGCATACGTTTTGTATAGAGAAAGTTTGTCAAATCACCAATGATATAAGAGAGACGAAGCAAGCAACATCTAAGATGAGAAGGAGATAAGAGTGTGAACCATTGCTGATGAGTTATGATCTGGTGTTTTATAAGAGTATACTTGTCCCGTAATGATTGTTTATATAAATGGTAGGAGCCAAGATCTTATAAGGTATGGAGTTTGATACAGTGCAACGATGAAGGAAATATGGAAAACGGCCGTAATGATGGTGCCATATGTTTAGTTTACTGCTTAGATAAAAAAAAACACCTTGATGATGTGAAGTAGTGTATTTCTGTGAAACAGTGTGTGTGGGTAGAGCATGTGGACAGTGCGTGTCTTTCGTTGGTTGAGTGACTGCAAGTGGCGTCTCTGACATTAGTATGCATCCTTCCAATTAAATTCCTTTGATATGTACAACACATCATTTCAGCAATCTCTTTAATATGTTTTCCATCGTTGTAGGGATATCCTAAATGTTCATTTTATCCCGTTACTAGACTATTATGATGATATTTTTATGAATATAAAACTATTTGAAAAAGGGTTACAACAATTTTTTTACATTAATTAGTTGCCATCAAAAACTTTTTTAACATTCTAAATGAAGTCTTCTTAATGTTAGAATCTTAAGTGAATATATATATTCATAACGAAATCTACACTTAAAATATGAAAAGAAAAAAAAACAAAAACTAGAATTAACATAATATTGTTACCTAAATATATAGTATTATTATTATTACCTCTAGAATTATTTATAAGTTTTTTAGGAACTAAATTATTGGAAAAATCTATGTAAGAAAGTGATTCTTAAAATATTACAAGTTGCACGCATGTCATAAATGGTTTGATCAAATTGAGTTTCATATTTTGCATGGATTTATTAGAGCTACAAAACTTTCGAATAAAATAGAAAGCAACATGTGAGACAACAACAAAAATATACCTATCAAATGACTTCAATGATTTCAAAAACCACATATGAAACTTCCAAACATTATCAACGACCATTAGTCGTATGTTGTCTCTGTTCTGTTATGTGGGTAATCAAAATTCATACAAAAAAATATATTCAGTTTAGTCTTAGTTCTGATACGCAAGGTCTAAAAATGATTTAGCTATTTTTTGTTGTCCCAACAATATAAGCTAACCAAAGACATTTTGAGATCATCAATAGAACGCATGCTATATATGTATCGCGTAGATTTACACAAAAACATCTTTTCTTTTTTTGGTCATCAATCTAAATAGACTCATACTGATTCTGCAAACCAAATCAGTAACTCTGCATCCATGTAAACGACAAATGACGATTGTTTCTTGCCAGTGCGTGCTAGACTATCCATCCGTAAATTCTACATTTTTGGTACATAGATTTTCTCTGAGATGATCCTCCATATAAGCTGTAAAAGCTGGCCGTTCTTCTGGTTCTGAAACTATTTCCACCAATTGAGAACAATCTGTTTCAAACGTGACCTAAAACTGACGCAAATTCTTCATACACTCCATTACCCAAATTAATGCTTCCACCACCGAATGAAGATGCGAAAAACTAACCCTAATGTATCTACAACAACATCTTAAAAGAGGAAAACTTTCACATATTTGATACTCTTTCAGTATTTCTAAACACAATTTCGAAGTTGCTAAACAAATCTTCACTTTAAATAACAATTACCATAAACAAACAAAACACAACTTAAAAGCTGCAAAAAAAAACTCCCATATTGTAATAGAACAAATTAATTATTATAAACCATCTTGATATAGTTTTTAACACAAGAAAATTGAGTTATATTAAAAATAAAACAAAATACAACACATAAATAATTGAAATAACATCTCGCTCGTAGGGCGGACAAACCACTAATTATATATCAAAATGAGTTTAAAATATCAATTATAATCTATATTTAATTTATATTTAATCAGTAATTAATAGTTCATAATATTACATTGTAAAATTAGATTTAATAGTAAATAATTAAACTATGTAATACTTTTAAATTAATCAAACACTAAAGTATCTTTTTTTTTACTTTTTTCATAATATAAATATTTGTATTACTAGCTAATACAAATTTTATTAAGTCAATATATTATTCTCTTCTGTGCTTTTCATAATTAAGAATTTGTAATTTTTAATTTAATATTATATATTAAATAAGTACAGAAAAAGTATAATATTGTCTGACAGAAAATGAAAAATGTATAAATTCTATTAACTTAAATTACAAAAATTGTACAGTTAATATATCTAAATGTGATAAAACAAATTTTTATTAATTACAAATTATAAAATTATAAAAAGTAATAAAACTAAAAATATCAAATAATATATAGTATTATTTTTGGTGTAATGTTTGGTGTCATGGTTGGAAATAACTAAAAAAATTTACATCAAAACACCAAATTGGTGTAATTTCAACGCCAAATTTGGTGTCATGGTTGGATATGCACTTTTAACAGCTAAACATATAACAAGCAGCTACATGTCACCTCAGACAAGTCAAAACACCAGCAGCAGCCACATCGCACCCTTCCTACAGCCAAGACATGCAACCATCAATGTGAAAACATAATCTATGGGGACAATAAGATAAATTCAAGCAATTGTTGAAGATAAGAAAATATCGGGTTTGTCTTATGATATTTTTTATACATTTAGCTTCGGTTATTCCTGTTACCAACTTATCCGGAATGTTGAATTTCAACCAAATGAACCAAAACTAATTATGGTCTGGGGTGGGACGACTTTGTTTAGTTCGGTTTTACAAAAAAAAATTTACAACAATAATCTACCAATCTAAGAAACCACAGACTCAAATAGCACAACCGGAAGGAGAGAATCAACATATAACATAGCTGAAGGAAAATTCCTCGCACCAAGCGCAAGTTTGTTCGCCATAATATTTGTGCTCTTGAAATATGTCTGATCTTGATGTTGGGGAAAAAAGTCTTACTACGGATAAACTCTTCCATGTGTGTCGCAAACGCTGGTCACTCTTCGGGTGAGGACACCATTTTCACCAATTGAGAACAGTCTGTCGCAAATACTACGTCTGGGAACTGCAAGGTCTTTATACACTCCATAACCCAAATCAAGGTTTCACATTCGGCATGTAAAGTTGATAGGCTGTGTCGAAGGTTCATTGCCCCCATCATAACGTCTGCCGACGCCATTTCCTGACAATACCAACCCTATCCCTTGAAAACATCTTGTTTCCTCCAGACCCCATCAATATAACAAATTCTTGAAAACCCCAAAGTCTGCCTAACGTATGTCTGAAGAAATTCATGTTGGTCCTATACTAAAAGTTGCGCCTCAGCCCAATGTGTTCCTTCTACTTCTGGTTTTTACAATTTCTTTGATAAATTACAAATATACAATATCTTAAAATCAAAAATCAAATGAACATAGCACAAATATTAGCAATCCGTGTGTAGCATGACATATCCCTGATATATATTAAAGTTAAATTTCTAAGTTTAATAATATATTAAAATATAAATATATGGATATCAAAATAGAAAAAAAATATATTCATTTTTATACATATATTATATATGTATTTATTAAAATGAAATAATAAGAAATTAAACATGGTGGATATAAATTTTAATTTTAATGATATTATTTCACCACTAATGGAAGATATACGATAAAGTAATGATATCACGTGGAACGGATATACCCAGACAGAGAAAGATCACAGCCGGTGTTTGGACCCATGATTACCCCTTTAAAAACTTATTCGTGGAAGATTCGTTTCCCACCAAAAATAAAACATTTTCTCTGGTAGTTGGTATCAGGTTGTATACCGGTAAAACCTTTTTGAGGAGTATGAGT